GCTTGTTCTCTGTCAAGCTTAGTTAAAAAGAAGTAGAAGAAGAAGTATAAGAACTTGAAATTCACGGATAGACTCTTCAAGAAAAAGATAGGAACTAAAAATTTATGGATGGAAGTTGGGAATGGGAATGGATGCTGGATACAGAAGGATTTGGTGTTTGCTGTTTGTTGGGTTCTTTTGGAAGGAAAAACTGAGTGTTTTTAATATCTATCAGTCTTTATAGTATTTGTTGGATAGAAGATGTTTTCCAAGTTACTGTGTGGATCTCCATGTCTAAAGGTTTTTGTTATTTTGATTGTCATTGAAGATATGCAATGTTTCATGGAATCTGTTGATCCCTTCTTTTGGTATGCTTTGTCTAGGTTTACAGTTTGGTGCATTTATGAATATTAACATTTGCTGCTCAATTTTGGATTAGTTAGAACCTTCTCTTTGATGGAGCCAATTTAGGAATGAATTTTATTAGAGAGAGAAAATCTCAATTAGAGATACAAGATCTCTCATGCTCACAAAATACAATGTAAAAATATCATCAACTACATTTCCAAGACTCTACCTACCTATTTATAGGCCAAGAGACCCAACTAACTCTTATGGTGCTAAGACATAACTACACCACTATTTCTAACTACATCACTCTTAACCTCAAAATTGACAAGTTACCATATCACATAAATTGATTCAGAATTGTGAGTCGTACAATTGTATCATGACATGCATAGATTCATTGATATTCATTAAAATATGTGAGTTTATCCTATGCATTTAAATTGAAAAGGGCTCACAATCGAATTGAATTGAATGATTCAAATTATGAATCTTAAGATTCTGACAGTTATGTCTGTGGGTATCTATTTTATGCTTGGCACGTGGCGAGCCCTACGGGCGTCACGTCAGCACCACTACACATCCACGTGGCAGGCCCTTGAGGCACCACGATGAGTATGTCATCACCACCACACATCCATGTGGCTGACCCCTGATGCACCACGATGAGTCGGGGTCATATGCCTAGCCTAAGCGGGGGCATGCACACCACCAAGTATGAAAACAATGCCACAACTCACTTTGATAAAGCTGGCTTACCTAGAGCTCTCCATTGCCCTTCATAACTCAAGAAATATATTCTCTACCCACTCACCCCAGCTCCATAGCAACGTAGTTGGACTCTTGGCTCACCTATGTTTACGTAGCTGCTTAGGACGAGCCCTTGGCTCACCCATACACTCACCCTCTTGGCTACCTAGGTTGGGAGCAGGACCTAGGCACTCCCCCCTTGGGATTATTGGAGGATTGTGGATTGGAGGCTAAGACTTCGGGATCGTCAAGGTTGTGTAGCTGTCTCCCTACAGTGACAGCTCCCCTTTTGACCTGGCTTAGAGAAAGGCACGTTGACCTTACACTTACATTTGATGCACATATGATACGCCTCTCTCAAGATGTCATACCTACAGCTGCAGCTCCTATGATGCAACCTTTCCAAGGATCTGAATCATAGGACACATCTAGTAGGGCTGATATCACCCTCCTGTCGAGTCGAGGAGAACTCACTGTTTGTCTTGAGGTTGCTTGGGCTCCAATACTCCTGGAGTCTATATAACGGCATCATAAGTGCAACCACAATAACACAACAAGAGCAACAAGAATCACATGGCATATACTAAGTGTTCAAGGTCTTTCACTGCCACCCCTTTCCTCTCTAAGCTTGCCTTGGTCTTATCTTCTTCCATCTCTGGTGATCTCAGGCCATTGAAGTGTCTACCATCTTCCAAGAGGTCAACGACCGATCGCCTCTAATCTCTATCACCCACAATGTCTAACGGCCTCAAAATTGGGCCAATTTTGAAATTGCTTGACTTTAGTGGGCCACTGTTATATAATTGTCACTGAGTGGTAAACTGAGGAAAATAAATAATATTATGCCAAACTTTTGAAAGAAATTCACTGGGAGATATTCAGTGAGAACATGCCCTTGTTAAATCCTAATTGATATGAATTGTGGAATTGGAGACAAGACAACACTTTGCAGGTCCATGGTCCGATTGGTCAATCACTATTATACTCCTTGTTAGAAAGAAATGGATATTCTATTTTTATATCATATTCAAGTGTCAATTCAGTTCATAACCAATATAGTTTTCTATGTGTAACAGGCTATGATGCACAGACACAGACACGGACACGGAAAAACGTAAATTTTCAAAAAATAAGGGACATGACACGATGGGGACACGTTCAATATATATAATTTTATTTATTTATTATATGTAAAATTAAAAAATATAAATATTATTCACAAATTAAATTTTTTTTATATATAAAAATAATTTATTTAAACAAATAATAATATCTAAAAAAAAGAAAAAAAAAAGAAAAAAAAATGTTTGTTCTATATCTAGTATATAATATATATACTATTATTATTAGTATATAAATATATATATGTATATATATTATTAGTATATAATGTAATACAACGATCGATGGTCAAACGAGGGCGCCGAAAATTTTAGCGAGAGAGAGAGAGCAGAGAGGGCGATTGATGGTCAATCGATGGTCAAACGATGGTCAAACGAGGGCGATCGATGGTCAATCGATGGTCGATCGAGGGCGCCGAAACCCTATAGCGAGAGAGAGAGAGAGAGAGAGAGAGAGAGAGCAGAGAGGGAGACGACACAGAGAGGAAGACGAGGAAGTCGACACTTGATCGAAGAACATACCTGATCTAGGGCTCCATTTCAACAGGTTCTTCACCCTCTCTCTCTCTCTGTCTGCAACAGGTTAGGGTTTCTCTCCCTCTCTGTCCATAACGTGTCCATAGCGTGTCCAACAGTGCCCAAACGAGTGTCCGGCTGCAAAAATTCAAAAAAAAAAAAGGGACACGTAGGGTAGAGTGTCGGACACGTGTTTGACGCGTGTCCGTGTCCGACACCCAAACGTTGCCTTAGGAGACGTGTCCGTGCTACATAGGTAACAGGTATATAATGTTCATATGTAGAAAGGTTATTGCATGATTTAAAGCGTACGACAAACAGTTGTGTCTAGTTTGTACAAGCTTGATTTGATGTCAATATATGCTGGTTTGTTTGAAATTTTTGGCTCAATTTGATTACATATGCTTCCCTAAGGTCGTGTCTACAGCCATTGTGGATTGGTTGACCAAGTAACCTTTGCCACCCTCAGTTGTAGTAGAAAATTGTGTAGGTTTCTTCTATTTCCTGGGATACATTGATTGCATTAGATATCATGAGCTGCACTAATAGGATGTAGATAATTTGAACAACTCAAGGAGAATGAATCAATATTCTGTGTTTTCAAATTTATTGGAGCGGTTGTATGCTTTATGTTAAAATTGATGTATTTATTGACTGATTGTATTTGATGTTGTGTAAATTACAGATGGTGAGGTACTCATTATATAGGAGAGGATTGGGGAGTAGGTGAGTGTGTGTGGTAGGTGAGTTGAGTGGAGGTGGTAGGTGATGATATATTTTAACAGCCCCCCGCAAACTCAAGGAGGATAGAAACTAACCAACTTGAGTTTGGAGAGAGGAGCAAAACAAGAAAATACATAAAAATAAAAAAAGATAGGAGACACTGTATGGTCGTGTCAGACCGTTGGTGAAGACACTGGATGGTGGTGTCATAACGTTGTAGAGGACACTGTATGGGGGGGTCATAACCATGTAGAGGACACTGTATGGTGGTGTCAGACCGATGTAGAAGACAGTTTATGGGGTCATGTCGGACCGTTGTAGCAGACAATGTTTTGACAGTTGTTGTGACAGTTTACGGAGTCTTGCTGGACCTTGTAGAAACTAACCGGAATCAATGTCGGAACAGTTTACAGAGTCTTGTCGACACCTTAAAGGAGCTAACGGAATCAATGTCGGGACAGTTTATAGAGTCTTGTCGGACCCTTGTAGAACTAACCGGAATCTATGTCGGGACAGTTTACAGAGTCTTGTCGGACCCTTAAAAAGTCGCACCCTCAAAAGGTGTGCCCAATTTTGTCAAAAGGCGTGCCATCAAAAGGCGTGCCCAATTCATCAAAAGGTGTGCCGGACATGATGGCGAGGCACGTGAGTGCCTTGGTTTGCGTGCCCGTTTTGTCGGCTAGTGGCAAGAGGCGCGCGATGGCGGTGGCTGCCTCGGCTATTTAACGGAGGCTGAGGCCGAGGCAAAAGGCTGAGACAAAAAACTGAGAGAAACCTCTGAAAAATCCTTCGTGTTGCTAGGAAAGAGAGTTCCTAGTGCTGAGAGAGATTTCTGAGAGAGATTCTGTATAACACTCTGTTGCCTAGAAAATGGCTTCATCGTCTTCCCGCGGGCTGCTCACCCTCTTCCCGACCTCAACGAGTCAACGAGAGAGAGAACTGGTGCGGTGGCACTGGAACCTCAACCAAGGCGCCCGGCAGTTTGCTCTCGTTGAACTTTCCGATGCGGTCGGTGGAGCAAAAAATGGCAGTGCAAACGGATATTGAAGCTAATCAGTATACATTGAAGTCCTGTGTTGAAACTATGACTGCGGTTACAAATTTGTCGAACCGGCTGCAGAGTAGGACAAATGAGGTGCAGCAATTAAACTCCCAGCTGGCTCTGCTCCAACGCATGTATAAGGATGCGCGAGCAGAGATAAGCGTGCTAAAGGCGGAAAATAAGGAGCTGAAGCGGAAGGCCACCGTGATGTTCCGTTTTGGAGGTCCGCCATATGCTGCAGTGGAGGAGCAGGGAGTAGTGATCATGCCCAGTGGAGTGGGAAACACGGAGGCAGCACCGTCAAGGACTGTCCAAGACGGAGGCAAGAAGAAGAGACCGGCTGCAGAGTAGAGAAGAAAAATCCCACTGTGCCGAGTTGTGTTGGTTTGTTTTTTTTTTTTTTTTTTTTTTTTTTTTTTTTTTTTTTTGGTGTAAAATGGTGATCGGGGTGAGCCCCGACATGAATAAGTTGGTGTGCAGTTCTTCTTCCTCTTATGTTTTTTTTTTTTTTGTTTTTTGTGTAATGAAAAAAAAAAAATAATAAATAAATAAAATAAAGAAAGAAGAAAGAAGAAATGTGTGTGTTGTGTGTCACTTTTATTCTTTAAAAGCATGCTGTGTCCCCTCGAGAAAGAGAAGAGGATGATGGTCTGTGCAAGATATGAAAATAAACATATATACATATATATATATAAAGATATTAAAATAAGAGAAAGTGGAGTGGGGTTGGAATAAATTAAGAAAAAAGATGGAGATGATTAAAAGGGAGCATGGGGGAGAGAAAAAGGGACCAGAGAGAGAGGTACTGGGGTGATAAAAAAGTGCATGTGGGAGACCAAGGGAAGTGAGTGTATGGTGTGTATCTGGGTGTATTTGGGAATAAGATCAAACCCAACCCTGTTTGTATCGGCGGAAGAGATCCTCTGTTTGGGCGTTCTTGAACGCACTGCAAGCAATGAGATAAACCCAGATTAGAACAACAACTGCAATAATCAAGATCACATTAACTCTCCTCCATTCTTTTCTGAGGTTCCCAAGCAGACCAGCTTTGCAAGAATCATAACTATAGCACAATTGGCTCTGGTCATTGTTCCAGATAGAGCAATCCGGATCCGAGAGTGTGTTAACCGGGTTAATCCACATTGTTGGGTTCACATACTGGTACCCACAGATTGTTGGAGGCTTGCAACATCCTGACTGAAGAGGAGAGATACTACGAGACGCGAAGAACTGGTCAGCAGAGATATACTCCCGATCGATCTTAGCACAAAAATTGGACTCAGCGAGACAAGCCCTAATTTTCCCCCAATTGTCCGAATTGGTGATGTGATTTCTGAGCCAGGCCGAGAATCCGCCGAGACGGTACTCGCGGAAAGCACGGCCATCGACAGAGTAAGAGCCGTCGGGATGAGTGACGACGAAGGCGAGGACGAGGATGATGAGGAGGGCCCCGATGAGAACCGCCATACAGATGAGGTAGAAGGCGAGGAGGCATTCTTTGTTCCAGTAGGAGCCTACGAAGCCGGTGAGGGAGACTAGAAGGATGGAGATGCCGAGGAAGACGAGTGGCCATCGGATCCAGTGGATGCACTCGTTGTCTGGCTTGGAGGCGAGCCAGACTCCCGAGGCGATTATTGGGATGGAGGAGAGGAAGGCTATGAAGTTCAGGACTGACGTTATGTTGTTGCTCACTGCCATGGTTATGGTGGTTTAGAGAGAGAAAGTGCAGACTGGTGAGGAAGCACATGCAGAGTGATCAAGGTATGTGTAGAAAATTCCAGCGGGCAGCGAAGGCAAAGTTGCCGGCCGGCTGCCCGCCGGTGAGAAAGAAAATACAGACCTAAATCTTATTGCTCTGATACCATGTTAAAATTGATGTATTTATTGACTGATTGTATTTGATGTTGTGTAAATTACAGATGGTGAGGTACTCATTATATAGGAGAGGATTGGGGAGTAGGTGAGTGTGTGTGGTAGGTGAGTTGAGTGGAGGTGGTAGGTGATGATATATTTTAACACTTTATATTCATACTCACATCCTGGCTCTTTTTGAAGCTTCACTGTGCTGATGTGGATGTGGTTGATGGCGCTGTTTGCATCTTGAAAGCAGTCATCTTTAGAAGCAATTCTTCCTTGGCTGGAAGCAGTCTCACTGTTACTAGAAAGATGGATGCTGTATTACCATTGCTCTTACACCTTTTAGATGAACGTGATGGCACAGCTAGGGCTGTTGTTGTACTCATTGCGGAACACTGCTCCATGTATCTTTTTTCCTTTTTAAATTTTTTTCATTTGCATTAGTAATTCATGTTCTACATTTTTATCTTTTCAAATCTGACTGCTAAACATTGGTTTACCAGAAGCACAGATAACCAGTGCCTTGAGGAAGTTCTACAGCGTCTTGCTTCTGGAGCTGTTTTACAGAGGAGGAATGCCATTGATGTTATTTCAGAACTATTTCATATATCACCAGATTCGGTGAATATACTTTCCAGTCTAATGTGATTCAAGGTTGCTTTTGATGGCAATAAGCCTTTTGATAAATTGCATGTCTTTACCCCCTTGGCTATTCTTCAGGTTTATTGCAGGCAAGATATAGCAAACCACTTGCTGAAGCTCCTTGGAGATGAAGAACTGGTAATTCGAGCACAGGCAACAAAGTTGATTCCTATGATGGGTTAGTATGAGATTTAGAATTTATGATTCCATGCTAAATCTAAAATGCTTGTGATAAGTATTTCATTAGAGTTTACGTAGAAACATGCTTATTAGGAAACAAAACCAAAAAAAAAAAAAAAAAAAAAAAAAGAAGAGAAAAAGGGAAAAAAGGTTTACTTGAAGATCTGTTGCTTCTTGTGGCAACTGTCATTACTGATTAGTCGTGGCCAGTCTCGTAGTCTTAGTACGCTAGGTTGAATGCTTTAGGAAGGAAAGGGGTTGGGTTTGTGAGTTGGAGTTGTTAAGGTTAGGAGTGAGGTGAAAGGATAGTAAATTGCCATGGGTTGGGCTTGTGAGTTGGAGGATTTAAGGTTAGGAGGAGTGAGGTAAAAGGATAGTAAAGTGCTAAATAAAGGAAAAGGAGAAAGCGGAGTAAAATTTAAATTGAATTTGTCAAGTAAAAAGGAGAAGGAAGAAGGCAAATAAAGCTAGATGGTTGGAAAGGCCTTTTGATGAAATGGAAATTAAACGTAGTTTTTGATTTTGAGAACTCCCTAGGTCCAAATGGTTTTATTATGGCTATTTTCCAAAATTGTTGGGACATTTTGAGGTTTAGTTTGATTTAATGAGGGGTTTTACTAAATTTTTCAAAAATGGAGTTGTCAATGCTTGTACAAATGCTACATTCATATGTTTGATTCCTAAGAAGGAGAATTCTTTGAAGATTGGGGATTTTAGGCCTATTATTTAGTTACTTTCTCATATAATATAGCATATATGGTTATTTCTAGGAGATTGATGATTTCAGGTGACACTATACTTGTTTCTTAGGGAACCTTTTGTTGGGGGTTGTCGGATTTGGATGTAGCATTGGTGGCAATCAGATAGTGGAGTAGGATTATATATCTCAAGGCGTGTAAATTGTTTTTTTTAAGATTTAATTTTTGAGAAAATTTATGATCATGTGGATTGGGGTTTCTTTCATTTTTCTATGGATAGGAAAGGATCTGGGGTTAGATGGAGGAAATGGATTCATGGTTAGCCTCCTTCTATTGAGATGCAACAAGGATCTAAGACAAGGTGACCCTTATTCTCCTTTTTGTCCACGATTGTGGTTGATGTTTTGGGTTGAATAGTCTATAGGACTAAGGAGAGAGGCTAGGTTAAGATTTCAGTTTCTCATCTTCAATTTGTAGATAACACCATGTTTTTTCTCCATTGTGGAGCATTCTAAAATGGTTAGTTTGCATTCTGTTTCGAGGAAAGACGTGTGTTTTAGATTGGGAATAACCACTAGTGATAGGGAAAAATTCAGGGGGAAGGACAAAGGAAAGAGCAATGCCTAAATCAAATCAATTGATTTGTCATGGTGGAGAATAAAAGCGGCACACAGACTATACTTGAGCTTCGGATCAATGTCCCCAAAAGCAAGGACTACGCGCGCATGTTTCAACGAGAACACTGAAAAAACCTAATTGAGCTCTACATAAGATAGCCATGAAACTATGACCGATAGATTCAGACACTTGGCCACAGCTGCATGCAAAAGGAATGTAGTTCTGGTTGAGGCTTTCTGTCGCGAGATATATTGCATAGGATAGTTGGCTTATTAGGTTGTTCCGTTGAATCTTTGCCATTGAGATATTTAGGCCTTCCTCTGGGGTTAATCCTAGGGCTGAAAGTTTTGGGGATCTTGTGATTGTAGGCATTCATCTACTCTCATTGTCTTGGTGAGAAAAGAATTATAATAACCTTTTGTCTTCGTGCTATTGTTTGTACAAATACAATCCTCTGCTTTAATGAATTGTTTATTTCTTCTTGCAGACCCATCTCTGCTTTTGCCTGCATTAGTTCGTCTTGTTTGTTCATCAGATGAAGTAGTACATTCATCTGCCAGAAATGCATTTGTCGCAGTGCTCAAATATCATAATAAAAAATTTGAAGTTTTATGCATGCTGCTCGACTGTCTTAGGTATATTGCTAGTTTAACTTGTACTTGTTTCTTTGTTTGTTTGTATATGGCTTCAAAGGCTTGATTTGTTTGCAAGTGGTTTGTTTCTGGAAATTTTAGAGTACCAACTTATTTGGTTCTCAATATCATTAATACATCAGGCAGTTGTTTTACTTGTGTAACTTTGTAATTTGTATTTTCTTCAGCAATATCTGCCAGAACCCAGATCTTCCTCAAGCTCTAGGTGATAGAGGGAAAGGTGTGTCTCTCCTGTTTTGATTATAGAATTGATCAACATGCTATCACATCCTTGTTCATACTCACTTTTTTTTTTTTTACAGTTTTATGGAAAATTTTGAAACAGAAATTCTTTGATCTTGTAAGTCTGCAAAAAATCTAAAAAGTCATAAATGGATATATTATACATAAACCACATTTTTCTGACTACTTCTGACATTTTTGGAAATATCTTCTCCTATTCTTGTACAAGTCAAACATTTAGCATAACTTGGGGATACTTGAATGGGGCCATGAGCTGCCTTTAAGTAGATCATTCATATGGCCTAAAATCTTTATTTTGACTACTAAATTATATACCCTGCATTATGATTAGGTCCCATTAACTGGACCTTATTTTTTTGTTAATTATTTATAGAGTCAATTTTTGAATTAGGCTGATCAATTGGCTAGACTATTTGCACAAAATATGGATCAATCTTCTGAGACCTACCTTGAATTATTTGCTCCAGTTGCTGCACCAAAGAAAATTCCAATTAAATGGACCTTAGGAATATGGATTTTTTGAGTTAGGATATTTAATTTGATGACCTTGCAAACTTATAACCACCATTGCCATACCAATTCCAAAATTGTCATGAGGTTCTGAATTTTTCTTTTCTGTTCCTCCATCGAAGCATTCAATGGAGGCACTTTTATGTCAAATACTGGGTTTTAAGTATTCTTACAAAATAGTTTCAAGGTACTGTCTGTTGAGTGATTTTATTTTCAATCACATTTTCTTTCTTTTTTTTATTTTTTATTTTATTTTTATTTTTTTATTTTTTTCCATTTATGTTTTACCTCTTCATTACATTGTACAAGGGTCAAAGTTGGATGCTGATAGAGTGCTCAAGCTGATCCCTCAGTGGTCAGAAAGTGTAAGCTTGATTATTTTGCAATTTGTGTATTTTATTTTATTTTATGATAAGTAATTTCTTCTATGAAAATTTGATGTTTCTTTTTTTATTGGTTTGTAAATTTGATGTTTCTTGGCTATGGTGTTCTTTCATGTGCGTGTGGTCTTTGTTCATTACCTTTCTGAGTAGTGTTTTTTGTATTTGCCTGTTTAATGTATTCATGTGTTTCTGTGCTTGGCTTAGGTTATTTTATTGTGCTAGATTATCACCTTATTAATATTGCTATTAAGCTTGTGTACTGTTCTCTTGTTTTTGGCTTGTCTACGTAATGTCAGACATATTTGGTTTGTGTAACACATCAGTGCATTAACAATGCCTTAATTACAGAATTTTAATAATTATTGAACATATATACATGCATATGTATCTATGTAACAATGGAAGTATATTTTTAAGGTAGTCCTTTATAGGACTTCATCCTTCATATTTTAATAAATGAGCCACATACTTTTCTTCACTATTCATATAAATACATTTATGATGAACTATTCTAGACTTCAAGGGAACAACATACTTTTTTGGATTCATGGTAGACTTCTATGTTAAACCAAAAGATTGAGTTTATTATTGTGATGAAGAAAGTCGTGCTTTTCAATCTGTTCTTTTGTCACCGAAGAAGCACAGACACTTCTAAAAATGTGGCGTGCCTGTGTCAGACACTGACACTCATTGGAAACTTCCCGACACATGTTTGACACTCATCAAAACATGTCCAATTTTTTTTTAGAAAAATTTGGACTCTCTTTGGACATTTGGAGAACACATATGTCCATTGCTTAAACAAAGGTGTCTATTGATTAAACACACATGAAACTAATTATAAGTTTAAACAAAATAACCTATGATACAATAATAAAAGAAAAACAATATAAATTTATAAAAATAAGTGTTATATTGTATTTTTTTTTATTATCTTTGAATAATATATTCATATATATGACATATAATTAATATATAAAATTATTTATTTCATACATGTCCCCCACATGTCGTGTCCTGCATTTTCTGAAAATTGACATGTCGGCGTCTGTGTCGTATCCTTGTTGCGTCACATGTCAGTGCTTCTAGTCTGTCACCATAGGTTAATGCTTATTGTGTTAAAGGCCTAGGACTTGGGGGTGTGCTCCCTCCAATGTCTCAGGTTGAAAACTTCCTAGGTGCAAACAATTTCTTGGCGCCAATCCATATGAGGCTTTGCCTCGGCTTTAATTGGGTCCCCCCCATTAGTGGACAGTGGGTTTGGTCCTCTGTACTAATCAGTGAGCCAGATACCGAGTTATCAAAAAAATGTTAATGCTTATTGTGGCCATCCAATTTGTTTGTGAATTGCTTTTTAAATTAGATATTAGGACTTTTTGTCCACTTTTCTTTTCTAAGACATACGTGGAAAAAGTTTTTTTACTATCTTGGTAATAATAAAAATACGATTGTATTTTGTCTTTCAAGTTTTTATTTATTGATGTGTTCATGCTGTGTCATGCCATGAATTTTTTGAAAATTGTTTTGTTAGTGTGTCTATTGTGTCATATCCATGTGCCCTTTTCCTTATCCATGCTTCTTAGTCTATATCTGCACCAATCCCTTGTGCTGTCTCAGGTCTGCATGTAAGTTATTTATTGACTTGAGGCTAGCATAACATTTTCAACTTGTCAATTGGTGTCCTTAAGTTGTGTCTAGATGACTCCTTGGACTTGCTTGCACTAACGGTTCTATTTCTCATGAGGTCTCATTTTCTTTCAGCCTATATCTGAATTTTTTATTTTGTTGTGCTATATATAGGTTGAAGACTGGAACTCGTTAATCGAACCATTGATTGACAAGATGTTTGCAGAACCATCAAATGCAATTATTGTCAGGTTCCTAAGTTATATAAGTGAACACTTGGCAGATGCTGTAGATGTTGTCTTTCACCGACTTCTGTTACATACAAGACAGCAAAACAGGTGAGTGTGAATTGCGTTATAAAATGTTCTCTTTGATTCCACGTGTAACCTCTCGATGTTCGAAAAATCTCATTCATAATCTCTGATAGTTCAAATGCTATAATTGAATTGTGTACTGGTTATCTTATGTGCTTGATTTACTGTTATATATAATCGTTAGTTAAAAAGTTAATTCAATGACCATGAAATACAAAGACTTCCTGTGTCCTGTTTGGTATGCTGGTGTATGGGCTGGCAACATTGCATATAGGTAATAATTAACTACTCAAGCTAGATTGCTGAAGTGTGCCTGTGTAAAATAGCCTAACAACTAGTAAATCCACAACATATTTTTTCCCCCTTCTTTTTCTCACCTTGCGTGAACCAGCACCTTTGTCTAGTTTACAAATCACTTAAAAGGATCCAGATGGTAATAACTAATTACTCTAAAAGCCTAGGCTGGAAAGTGATGCGACTTTCATCGATATAGAATTACTCTAATGGGTTTTCTTTGTTATTTTCGTCCTTTTTTCCTATCCTCTCTGATTGTCTCCACTCTTATTTTCCCTACTGAAGTTGGAGATGAGTGGTAAATCTATCTAAACCACCCCATAATTAATGTGTACTTGGTATTCAATTCAACCTATTGGTAAATCAATTAACTTATTCAATTGCACATGTACCATGTGTCCTTTGTTTGAGAACTGCTTAAGGTATTCCAACTGTATCATTCCACTGCAGCATTTTATTTCAACTCTTTGGCTTTTCATTTACTCGTCTGAATCATGCCATAATATGGGGCTATTGAGTATATTCCTTACCATCTTCAGTGAATATCCCCATCATCAATAAAGGAAGTGGACATGTTCTATTCCTTTCTCTTTTATTAGTCTGTTTTTTTCAATCATTTGGTCAGTGCTAGAAGTCAAGAAGTTGTTTCATATTTTACTTGTGATTTGTGTGCATCCCACTTATCCACTATGAAACATGAAAAGAGTCTTGATTCATGTTTTCACATGATGCCATAGTTCTGTAGGATGGGTTTCAATTTTGTACCTTAAAACAATTGCATCTGTTTTCAATGTTTTTATGTTTGGTGTGTAAACTGTTCTCTCTCATTATTATTATCATAGTTTTCAAATCTGGATTCATATCGTGAATCGAAATGGCTTTGTACCGAATAGTGAATTGAATCGAATTGTGAATCGTAAAGATTCTGTCACTTTTTCTAAATTATTTAAAAATATATATCTACACATTTAGATGTTAAATATATCTTATGAATATGACATATTTACACTTAAATCAATGAAAATGTTATTTTGAATGATAATCACGTAGTTTAATAGGTAAGAAGTTAACAAAGGTTCCTATGTAAGATCACTATCTTACCTTTTTTCTTTTTTAGATATTTTTTATTAACAGTTCTTAATAAAGATAATAACCAAATAGACAAACTATCAATTTCCAAAGTAACAATAATTAACAAGGATATTGATATTTGGACAATAAGCATACATAAGTAACAGTGAAATAATAAGAAAGAATTATTTAAAATATTTTATTTTAAAGCATAAAACATTTTATAAGGTATAATTGACTTTACACATGTAATATTCAATTATATTCAATTTAATAAAATAGTAATAGATAATTCATAGTGTAACTTTAATCTTAAATATCTTTAGAAGATATATTAAGATTTTTTAAAGGGAAAAAAATGGAAAGAAAGGTTAAAAATATATTGGGTCTGACTGAATTTGATTGGATTCTATTAAAAACTCCATGATCACTAAAATAATAATAATAATAAATCATGTATATATATTGGTTATTTTGGTATTAAACGCTATCACAATTTGTATTATGTCATTTTTACTAAAAAGATAGAGAAAAGAAGAGTCGAAAACATGTCGGACACAATAATTTCAAAAATTGCATGAATCATAAAAAGTGAATTGAATCGTGAATCGATTGTGAATCGTGCATCGATTGTGAATCGTGCAATTCATTAGAGATTCACTTCCAAAATAGATTCACCCATAGATTCGTATCGATTTTTCAAAAATGGTGAATCGAATCGCGAATTGTAAGATTCTAATAACAGAGATTATTATCATTATTATTTTTTTCTTGGGGTGAAATTAATGAAAATTTTTGCAGATGGGAGAATCGAAACTATGAAGTTGATAATCCTCTGAAATTGGAGCATTCTCTCTTTGATCGCCTTTGTCCATTACTTATTATCAGGCTGCTTCCACTAAGAGTTTTTAATGATCTCAATTCTTCACTTATATATGGTGAACTTTGCAAACAAGGTATGATGATCTGTGCCTTCAGTGAATTCATTTTTTCTTTTTTCTTTTTTCTTTTCTTGTCTGTTTATTCTTTGCGTCTTTCAAGGTCAGTTCATTGTTCTTGTGAATTTATAAAACATAATAGTTGTAAAGTTTGTCCATCTCTAAGCCCCTTTCTTCTTCTTTTATTTTATTTTATTTTATTTTTTTATTTTTTCCCCTAGTGAAATTTACAAGTATTTGGCAGTTCAACGTAAATTTCTCTGCTTGTTTGCTTGTATATTGTCATCTCTAAAATGCTACATTAGTGACTGATAGTATATTTAATTTTTCTGTGTGGGTGTGGATACCAGCTTATGTGTGGTATTCTGGCGCCCCCCCCCCCCCCCATGTTTTACCCGAACACTTTTTATCCTTATTCTTTTTCGGTTGCCTTGTGGACTTGTGTCACACAAGGGAAGGGGTTCTGGGGGAGGTATGAAATATGTTTTTATTCTGCCTTGTCGCAACTGGTTGAGGAAACTTTACTCTGTTGAATGTCAGCCAATGAGAACTTGTGTTTTTTATCCTGTTTAACTGGAGTTTTTCCCTTAATTATAATACTTTTAGTTGATGGGCCGTTTATTCCTCATCTTTGTAAGTAGTTATGTTATTACCATGTCATGTTTTGAATAACTAAGATTAGAAATCATAAAATTAATGTTTGTAACTGTAAAATTTTTTGTATCCTTGGTGGCATGGTCTAAATACTACTATCAAAGTCAGCTTTCCGCTTTGAGACGAGTTCTCACTGCCAATCACTGATCTATTAGTCCATAACCATTTTTTCCATTTCATTTAATTGCTGAGAATGCTGCTAAGAATGCTTCCTAAAACGAGTTCCTAGTTTAATCCTATTGCAGTCTTATTTATTAGTTATGTGGTGCAAATTCATCGGAAGTGTGGATTTGCACCCATGACTCTTTTCATCTCAGTCAAACCTGTAATCATCGTGAATGTAGCTATTCATCGGAAGTGTGGATTTGCTCTCGATATGTGTATCCCTTGTTGTTTGGGCCATGATAACCTCTTAGCATTAAAAAATAAAAATAAAAAGTGTAGAAAATTTAATGTATAAAGAGAAATAGAGAATTGTATTATTGATTGATTGATGTTATAAATTACAAATGGTGAGGGGCTCCTTATATAGGAGATGTAGTGGAGTAGGTGGTAGTAGGTGGTAGTGGTAGGTGTGTAGTAGGTGGTAGTAGGTGGTGGCAGGTGTAGTAGGTGATGGTAGGTTTTAACAGCCCCCGCAAACTCAAGGGGGATAGGAACTAACCAACTTGAGTTTGGAGAGAGTAACAAAACAAGAAAATAATCTGAAAAATAAAAAATGGATAGGAGACACTGTATGGTCGTGTCAGACCGTTGTAGAAGACTGTATGGTTATAGCAGACCGATGTAGACGACAGTTTATGGGGTCATGTCGGACCGTTGTAGCAGACAATGCTGTGACAGTTGTTGTGACAGTTTACGGAGTCTTGCTGGACCCTTGTAGAAACTAACCGGAATCAATGTCGGGACAGTTTACAGAGTCTTGTCGGACCCATGAAGGAGCTAACCGGAATCAATGTCGGGACAGTTTACAGAGTCTTGTCGGACCCTTAAAAAAGTCGCACCCTCAAAAGGTGTGCCCAATCTGTCAAAAGGTGTGCCCAATCCATAAAAAGGCGTGCCATCAAAAGGCGTGCCATCAAAAGGCGCGCCCATGTTGTAAAAAGATGTGCCGGACATGATGGCGAGGCGCGTCACCACATTGGCTTGCGCGCCCGTTTTGTCGTCTGGCGTCAAGTGGCGCGCGATGCGCGTGTCTGCCTCTTCGTCATGGTCTTTATAAACCGAAGCGGAGGCTGAGGCTAAGGCTGAAAACCTGCTAAAAAACTCTGAAAAAAATTCTTCGTTGTCTGAGAGAGAAACTCTGTAATACTCTGTAACAACTGTTGCCCAGAAAATGGCCTCTTCTTCCCGTGGTCTGCTCACTCTCTTTCCAGACCTCAACGAGTCAACAAGAGAGACAACTGGTGTGGTGGCCCGTGAACCTTAACCAAACACCTCTGGTTTTGCTCCGTTGAACTTTCCGATGCGGTCGGTGGAGCAAAAAATGGCAGTACAAACAGATATTGAAACCAATCAGTATACATTGAAGTCATGTGTGGAAACCATGACTGCGGTCACAAACTTGTCGCACCGGCTGCAGAGTAGGACAAATGAGGTGATGGCAACTTTCTTTTTATTATTTTATCACACAAGGGAGACAGCCCCATGTGAACCATTCACACGGTTTCACACATTCACTTCCCCAAACCACCCAACTTTCTTTTTATTATTTTATCACACAAGGGAGACAGCCCCATGTGAACCATTCACACGGTTTCACACATTCACTTCCCCAAACCACCCAACTTTCTTTTTATTATTTTATCACACAAGGGAGACAGCCCCATGTGAACCATTCACACGGTTTCACACATTCACTTCCCCAAACCACCCAACTTTCTTTTTATTATTTTATCACACAAGGGAGACAGCCCCATGTGAACCATTCACACGGTTTCACACATTCACTTCCCCAAACCACCCAACTTTCTTTTTATTATTTTATCACACAAGGGAGACAGCCCCATGTGAACCATTCACACGGTTTCACACATTCACTTCCCCAAACCACCCAACTTTCTTTTTATTATTTTATCACACAAGGGAGACAGCCCCATGTGAACCATTCACACGGTTTCACACATTCACTTCCCCAAACAAAAACAAACAAAAAATAAAATAAAATAAAATAAAATAAAATAAAACAACAAAACACACAAAATAAATAAATAAATATATATATATATATATATTTTTATTGGTATTTATTTTTATTTATTTATTTATTTTGTGTGTTTTGTTGTTTTATTTTATTTTATTTTATTTTTTGTTTGTTTTTGTTTGGGGAAGTGAATGTGTGAAACCGTGTGAATGGTTCACATGGGGCTGTCTCCCTTGTGTGATAAAATAATAAAAAGAAAGTTGGGTGGTGTGGTGTGGATGGATGTCTCTTAAAATGGGTGTGTGTATGGCCCTCTCCCTCCCTAACCCGAGAGAGAGAGAGTGAGGTGGCAGTGTGTGTGTTTGCAAGTTCCAACTTCTGCAATGCTCTGTGAGAGATAGAGAGAGAGAGATTGATGCCGAGAGTGATTGGTTTGATGCCAGGAGAGAGTAAAAGAAATTGAGAGAGAGAGTAGATGTGCCAAAAGAGAGCCAGCCTCCCCTCATGCACACCACCGAGGAGAGGAGGTTACTTGACGAAGGGCTGAAACTCTTCCCGTCATTTTTCAAATTATGGTTGATGCTTGGGCAGCTGGAGGAACGGCTTGGTAACTTGGAACAGGCTAAGGAAGCCTATGAGTCAGGTTTGAAGCACTGCTCCAGTTGTATTCCCCTTTGGCTTTCGCTTGCTAACCTTGAGGAGAAGATGAATGGATTGAGTAAAGCTCGAGCAGTTCTCACCATGGCCAGGAAGAAGAATGCTCAGAACCCTGAACTCTGGCTTGCTGCAGTCAAACTTGAATTTGAGAACCATGAACCTGAGAGGGCAAGAATGCTTCTTGCTAAAGCTCGAGAAAGAGGAGGTACAGAAAGGGTATGGATGAAATCTGCCATTGTTGAGAGAGAAGAAAATTCCAGCGGGCAGCAGAGGCAAAGTTGCCGGCCGGCTGCCCGCCGGTGAGAAAAAAATACAGGTTTAAATCTTATAGCTCTGATACCATGTAGAAAATTTAATGTATAAAGAGAAATAGAGAATTGTATTATTGATTGATTGATGTTATAAATTACAAATGGTGAGGGGCTCCTTATATAGGAGATGTAGTGGAGTAGGTGGTAGTGGTAGGTGTGTAGTAGGTGGTAGTAGGTGGTGGTAGGTGTAGTAGGTGATGGTAGGTTTTAACAAAAAGGAAGCACATAACACAACTCCATGTGTTCTTTCGACTAAAGTGTGTCGTTGCAATTTCTGTCCAAATTAATTGGAGATGCAACTCACGCACCTGTGTTGAGAGTGAGTATACAACCATTTTCCTGGGTTGAAAAATATCCTTAAAAACCATCCGTATTACAAAATGCCAGTGTCTTCTTTCTCTCCCTCTTCCGTCCATTTCCTCTCTTCTTCCACTCCAACCACCTCCTTTCTCTATACTAACCCCTGCCACCCCTTTCCTCCTTCCCTGCCGCCACCACCACACTCTACATCTCTCACTCCACTGATTCTCTCCCTCTCTATCTTTTCTCATTTCTGAACAAATGATGCAAGTCAACGACCAGTTAGAAAATTATTAAATGATGGGGCCATCTCTTTCACTCTCTTTGGATATTCACATTGGATGGTTTTTAAGTTGCTTGACTTGGATAGTTTTGAAGTTTCCTTTAGAATTCAGAAATTTTAAATCAACAACTGGTCATTGATTGGCCTTTAACAGCAACGGCTGGCAAAGATGCGTGGGAAAGATTATAAGATAAGAACTAGTCCCAAAAGCTTAAGATGCTAGAAAAGGTGCTCAACAATGCATATCAAGATCTCGAACACCCTCCCTCATATCAAGATCTTGAACACCCTTCCTCGTGTAACCCTGTCCTGCCCGTAGAGATGGAAACATCCAAACATTTACAAAAATAGAATCCAAACAGGGAAACAAATGCAAACTGAGAGACATGAACCCAAGACTTCTCCAAATCTAAACCCTGATACCGTGTTAGATCATCAATAGTTCCAAAAGCTTAAGCTGTTAGGAAAGGGGTCTGACAATACATATCGGGAATGATGACTAAGTGCGACTTACATACGAGGGTATAATGACCTTTTTTTCTTTTACCATTAATGATGTGAGCGGTGTATTTTAGTCCAAAAACCACAGGGAGTTGTGAGCTTATTTTTTATTGTCAGGGGAGTGATTAGTACATGGCCCAAACCACCGGGGGTAAAGTGAAATATGCCTTTTAAAAATAAATACTAAATGAGGAGCTGATGTTACCGCTACTATCTATTTCAGGGCATTTAATAAGTTCGAATTCGAAGATGTTCGGAAACTTTCAGCTGAGCTTTGTGGCCGGATTCATCCCCAGGTAATTAGCGATGCCAAATGTTCTCCTTATTTGCAAGAGAAGTTACTTTGTTTTTACAATATTTTTTTGGTTACAAATACGCACTTACCAGTATATCAAGTGAAGAATGAATGCTGTTTGGAAAATAATAATAATAATAATAATAATAATAATAATAATAATAATAAGGGAAAGAAAATGCTGGACCAAATGCTATTGCTTAGATGACGTTTTAATGCTTGATTACATTTGCTACAAAACAAATTCCATGGTACATGTATTTTTTATAATTATTTTTTGACAATTTCAAATTCTTAAAGTCTGCCCAGTTTAGTCCCCACTGGATGCTATCCCTTGGCATAATTTGCACAAAGTGATTGCCCTTAGGTTCAAACCCGTAACCTAAAGATTAGTAGGTCAGGTTTTAACCCACTGAATAGATGTTAAAATTTTAAAGTTGATGTTTGTTGTGCGTGACATTTTATGGGGCTTAATGCATTATCTGGTTCTTACAATTTTACCGAGTGCTCTTTACAATGAGGGGATTGTAAATTTTTACTGTATTAAGCACTAGAAGAAAGTTGTTGCCTATTCTTACAAGGGCCTTTTCCTCTATTTTCTTATTAGTTCAAAGAATTTTTGTTTGTGCATCTATATACAATCTTTTTTCAGATAATCTTACATTGAGGGTCCCCTCTCTCTTTTTCAAAGCTTATAGGCAACAATACGCACAATTTGACTTATCCATTCATTTTTAGAGTTTGATATGCAGTATATATATTATTTATTTATTTATATGTTTTGTGCATAAGGATAACTAAGCATTATGGAATTTCTTACCCTGAAAAGAGTTGCAATTATATGATTCTGCCAAAATTTACATAGATTGAGTTCTGCTGTGCTTGAGTCCCCTCTGGGTTTACTATGTAGGGCCATATTGTATTAATGATGAGTATATTCATATAAATAAAATGTAGGAGCGAAAAATTTGAAATTCTTACGCTGTGTTTGGTTGAGGGATTTGGGAAGGGAAATGGAAAGGGAAATGGAAATGAAAGGAAAAGGAAAAAGAATTAATAGAATTCCAAATCCCAACTATGTTTGGTTGTGTTGGTTATAAAATAGAATTGATGTCCTAAAAGGTATCCTATTTCTTTATTTATTTCTCACCCCCTTTCTTTTCCCATATATTTTTTATTATAACCAAACATAAATAGAATTACATTTCTCATTCCTTTTCCAAATCTCACCCCAAAAACCCCAACCAAACACAGCATTAGTGAATTTCAATGCCCATATTAGTCTGTCCCCAGAAAAAGATCCCTGCTTAGATAGTGCATCACTGGATTATTTGCAGATAAAATTTAACCAACTCAATTATGTTGTTGGTCATACTTTCCTGAAGTGTAATATTTTCTAGAAGGTTTTGTTTGTAGCCCCCAAGATTGCTTTTTATAAAAAAGTGTCAAGTTAAACCTTATTGCACCTTTTCACCTCTTTTGCGTATTTAGTAGTTATTGAAAGATTCCATTTGTAGTCCTTGTGTACTTGATTATTTTAACTAAGGTTTTTTGCAATCCAGTTAATTATGCATTTAGCGCTTTACTGATACAAGAGTTTAACCCATGGACACTGGTTTTCTACGTTTGAACAAAGGTAGTGAAGAGTTTATTTTTTCAGATTTTGTAGATTTACACATGCTTTAGCATTGTTCCCTGGGGTGAAGTATGCACTTTTGGTGCCACTTGGGACATGATTGGAAACAGAGAAGGCTTTGTTCCCTTTTGATTTGGATTGCTGGAAGTCCATAGTTGTTTCTTTTATGTTTTATTTTAGGAGGGGGAAAAATAAAGAAAGAGCAATTGTTGTGTTTCTATAGGAAACTTGAGGTATATAGATAATCATCACTTGCTACATGCTGCCGACTCTTTGGAAAAAAAGTGCAGCTGGTCTGTTTCTTCTTGGTATTGTTATGATACTCTGCATGAATGCTGTGTTCTGTGTCAAATTCAGTTCTTCTTGACTGAGTTGAGTCACATGTAGTAGAGCATCCTCCTTTAAATAGTCGACATGAACCAATATTCCATTTAATTTTATTGTAATTTTTTATTTATTCAAATATCTCTTGTTGTCACTCTGCTATTCAGTTCTATGCAAGGGTGTTACTTTCTAATTTCATATTCAGTTGTTGTCTAATTTTACCTTCTAATCTTCCTGCCTTGTGATTTTGCAGGTGCTATTTCCACTTATTGCCTCGCAATTGGAACATGCTGTAGATGCTCGTGTTGTGCTGAAGATAAAAGCTTGTTTGTTTTCAATTTGTACATCCCTTGTGGTAGCAATCTGTCATCAACATTCATTTGTCATGATTCATTACTATTTGTTCTGGCATTTAAGTGTCCTGTATCTGCTATTACTTGAATAACATTCAACAACTAAATGACAGTAGTTTCTTCTTGTATACAGGCTAGAGGCAGGGATTCACTTTTACATCCTATTGTGCTCAAAATTAGGAACACTATAGAAACCGTCTTGTTGTGGCCTTCATCTGATGGGGATGAAGGTAACAAGTTTGCTTTTCTAAATTTGCCAATCCTCATACTGTTACTAAAGCCTGATGGCTGCAAGTATCTTTCTGTCTTTCAGTTTCCAAAGCTCAGCATGGGTGTATTGATTGTCTAGCAGTGATGATATGTACTGAACTACAAGCTCTAGAATCATTCAGAGACTTGACCTCGAAGAACACAAGCCTTGTGAGAATGGACAGCTGTTCCCGTCAGTATCTTATTTTCTCTTTGTATAAGCACTTTTGTGGGGGCATTTCCCTAAATAAGCTAAAATAATAAATCAATTCTCAAACTAAGTTTAGTTTTGAAAGAATTCCCAAAATAAGCTAACTCGCGGTTCACAATTGCGATTTCAACATATTTGCACCTATCTCGCGTGAAAGTTGGTAAATCTTAAATTCGTGGTTACAAAAAGCGCTTTTGATTAAGAAATTGTGGTTACAAAACGCGATTTTAATTAATTTTTTTTTCTTCTGAACTCGCTGTTTCGAATCACGCTTTTAGACCAAAAACTTTTTCTGCTGAAATCGTGGTCGTGAACCACGATTTCAATACTGATTTGCCAAGACCAACTGATGGCTAATGTAAAGTATACACAGTTGGACTAATAAAGCTATTTCATAAAAAAAAAAAAAAAAAATCTAACAAATAAATTTCAAAAATAAAAATAAAAATAAAATTCTAAAAATTTACGCTACCTTAGTGTTTAGGGATAAAATTTATTTTTTTTTATTTTACTAAAATAAAAATAAATAAAGTAAAATAAAAAAAAATAAATTTTAAGAATTAAACCCTAAACCTTAAAATAAAAAAAATAAAATTTATCCGTAAAAACTAAGGTAGCGTTTGGTAACGTTTACGTTTTTTGTTTATATTTATGAAAATTTTATATACTAGTTTTTATTTATTTTTAGAAAAACATAAATTACAAACGAGTTTGGTTTGAACAAAATGTTTAAAAAAATTTATAAAATTTAAATGCGTTTAGTTTTAAAATGTTTAAAAAATTTTAAAAACGTAAAATAAAAAATATGTTTGTTCAAGCCTAAAATATTGAAAAAATAATTATTTGAAAAAAAATTTAATTGGGAAAAAAAATATTTCAAAAAAATTTAATTGAAAAAAAAGATTAATTGAAAAAAAAAACTAATAGAAACAAAAATTAATTGAAAAAAATTATTTGGTCTTATTTTTTTTCAATTATTTGAAATTAAGACCAAATAATTTTTTTTCAATTATTTTTTTCAATTAATTATTTTTTTCTATTAATTATTTTTTTCAAATACTTTTTTTCCCAATTAATTTTTTTTTTCAAATAATTATTTATTTCAATTAAATTTTATAAATTTTTTTTAAACAATAATTATTTTATAAAATTTTCTTTCAATTATTTGTTTAGGGATAAATAATTGTTTAGGGATAAAATTTTCAAATGATTATTTTCTTTCAATAATTATTTTATAAATTTTTTTAAACATTTTGTTCAAACCAAACTCGTTTGTAATTTATGTTTTTCTAAAAAAAAATAAAAACTAGTGTATAAAATTTTCATAAATATAAATAAAAAACGTAAACGTTACCAAACGCTACCTTAGTGTTTACGGATAAATTTTATTTTTTTTATTTTAAGGTTTAGGGTTTAATTCTTAAAATTTATTTATTTTTATTTTAGTAAAATAAAAAAAATAAATTTTATCCCTAAACACTAAGGTAGCGTAAATTTTTAGAATTTTATTTTTATTTTTATTTTTATTTTTAGAAATTTATTTGTTAGATTTTTTTTTTTTTTTTTTTTTTTTTTTTTTTTTTTTTTTTTTTTTTAAAATTTTTTTTTTTTTTTTTTTTTTTTTTTTTTTTTTTTTTTTTTTTTTTTTTTTTTTTATGAAATAGCTTTATTAGTCCAACTGTGAATACTTTACATTAGCCATCAGTTCGTCTTGGCAAATCAGTATTGAAATCGTGGTTCACAACCACGATTTCAGCAGAAAAAGTTTTTGGTCTAAAAGCGTGATTCGAAACAGCGAATTCAGAAGAAATTTTTTTTTTCATAAAATCGTGGTTAGGAACAGCGAGTTCAGAAGAAATTTTTTTTTGGATAAAATCGTGGTTCAGAACAGCGAGTTCAGAAGAAAAAAAAAATAATTAAAATCGCGTTTTGTAACCGCGATTTCTTAATCAAAAGCGCTTTTTGTAATCACGAATTTAAGATTTACCAACTTTCACGCGAGATAGGTGCAAATATGTTGAAATCGCGATTGTGAACCGCGAGTTAACTTATTTTGGGAATTCTTTCAAAACTAGGCTTAGTTTGGGAATTGATTTATTATTTTAGCTTATTTAGGGAAATGCCCCACTTTTGTGTTTTACAAGAATTCAACCGATCTCTGTAATTCTAAATGCAGGGGATGCTGCAATGAGAGATTCAGTACGCAGTTATGTGATCCATCAATTAACACCTGATAAGGACTGCACATATGAGGCATCGATATCTATGTCATTTGTTCTATGCATGGCTAATGTTCTCATCAGTGCTTGTCAAAAGATCCCAGACTCTTGCAAGAGACCCTTTGCTCGGGAAATTCTTCCACGTCTCATTCAGTCTGTAGAGGTATGTCATAATAAAGGTCACAATTGTTGGGTTCGAGTGGTACCGACTTTCAATAGCTAGCAGCTCCTCATTTTTAATATTACCATTCCTCTTTATTCATCTTGGTGGTGATAGCAGGTGATGATGGAATCAGAGTATAGAGCTGCAGGCCTCCAGGTTTTCTTCTCAGCAGTATATCATCTGAAGTCTACAATTCTTCCTTACACTTTTGATCTTCTCAAAGTCTCTCTGAAATCTCTTAGAGAAGGATTAGAAAAGGTAAGAAGTCCACTATGATAGACTTAGTACGTCCATTTTCGGTTTTCTACCAATTTATTGGCAAAAGAAAGCAAAAAGCAAAATCAAAAGCCTCATATGTGGGGCAACCTTGGATGACTTCAAAACTCGGTACTCTTTCACATTTACACTAGGGCTGGGGCTAGATATCCCGTTGCTCACCTACATACATATAAATAAAGAGTGAGTTAATGCCCAGTGAATAATATCAGAGTAAAGGGGTTAATGAATGAGATTCGCATGTAAATAAATAATACTTGCATTTAATACATATGGAACAAAATTCCCATTCATAACGTACTTAAACAAATCATAGCAGAACGACCTCAGGTCTAATCCATTATACGTAGTACATGTTGAAGGGACAAAACGACCTTGGGTCCAAATATTTTTCATAACTAATCGTAACGTATGTACTAAATGACGTCGGGTCCAACATTTCCATACTCTTATCCATGCGCATATGCAAATTCAAGATCATATTCACATTTAATGGATCCATGCACAAATGACCATCTGGTCCTTCACATTGTATGTACAAAATGACCTTAGGTCCATTATTTCTAATCATGATCATGTTCACATTCGTATTCACATTCAAAACGACCTTTGGTCTAATCAATTCTTTGTTCAAAATGACCTTTGGTCCAATCAATTCTTTGTTCAAAATGACCTTTAGTCCATTTAACAATCATACAAAATGACCCTCGATCCAACTCATTTGTAAGATGACCTTAGCTCTATCTTGTCAAATATTTTAAACGGCCTTAAGCTCATTCTGTGTCCCTGTCAAATATACCAAACGGCCTCGGGCCTATTACACATTCTCATCTATTAGACCAAACGGCCTTAGGCCTATTGTGTATTCATACAAAACGACATTTGGTCCAATCTTATAATTTCGTGCTTATCAATCATGTTTCAAGTCTTTTACGAATTAGACAGGTAGAATACTCATAATAAAAATTCATGATTCGGGAAAACTTGCCATGTAGGTAATATTTTGAAAATAAAATACATGAAAATATCTTTACTAAGATATTACTCACAATGTTCAGATGATTGATTCGTCCTCGCGATTGACCCTACACAATCCATAGCACATATGGAAATCGGGTCACGATACAATTCAATCCGTTCTTTACTTCATTTATCTTTCTTAGGCTTCTTCCCACCTCTTTAGTTTATTTAGAATGCTCAATGTATGTCTAAGAGTGCTTAGAAATGAAAAAGAACAGAAATTGAAACATAAAATAACTTTTCAAAGTTCCTGAAATGCGGCACTTCGCTCGAGTGCAACATTAGTCACTCGAGTGAACCCCTTGGTCTGCGAAAGTACTGGATGCTCTCACTTTATGCTCGAGTCAACTTTTTGGTTATTCGAACCAAGACTGAGAATAAACGGTGGTCGCTAGAGCGGTCTTTTGGTCGCTCGAGCCAACCCCCAATGTCTGCAAAAGTACTGGGCGCTCGAAATGTACACTCAAGCCACCTTTCCATCGCTCGAGTGATAGGTCGAATTTCTGGAATTTCCAGATTTGAAGAACAAGGCCCCAAGCTTGATTTTAACACTTAAATGCATGCACGACTCACTCAAACATGTAAGAGCACTCCCAAATACATATAATTGAAGCTAGCTTCACCTATAGTTCAAAATTTCATGAATTCAACAAGATTCAAACCTTAAACTTTATGTTTGTAAAATTTATGTTTTACATCTTGCATTCACAAGCATCAAGGCCTTAAAATTGGACTTCAAAACTTTACAATTGATGCATGCATGTGAGATACAACTCTTAATTCTACATGAGTTACAAGATTCATGTTCAAAAATGAGAAAACATAACAAATTCATGCATGTATTTATGTTCGACCTCCCTATTCATCATCCTTAAGCCATTTCTTACATTAACTCTCATAATCTTCTTAAATTCATATCTTTGATAACTTAATTTCATGAATTATAAGTTCATGACTTACCTAGAGTTTTCAATCAACTCTCCACAAGTTAGTTCCTGAGTTCTTACACAATTCTTCAAGCCCCTAGCCAAATCTTCAAGATTGAGCCTCACTCTCTCTAGAATCACACTTCTCTCTATAAAATGCTCTCTCTACAAGCTGAATTTTGAGCTCAAAAATGAGCTAAGCACCTTAATTAGCATATATATAGGCTAGGTTAACTTAATTCACTAATCCATGATCAAGTTAAGTAATTGGAGCTTATTTTAATTGAAGTAATCTAATTAATTCAGTCTGAATTAAATTTTAATCAAATTTCACTATAGGCTCTAAAAATTATGCCGATCACAATGATTCAATCAATTTTGGTTTCTAAAACCGATAAGGCCTTCAATTTCATATTATAGTCGCATATAGAATAGATCTCTCTACGAGGGATAGATATAAATTCAAAAACATATATAATCACATGCTTAGTATCCAAAATCATATTAAGTACATAATCACAAATATAATTAAAGATTAATGGCATCAGACAGAATGGGGTTATCACAGTGTTAGTGGAGAAGAAGTTAACACTAAATTGGAGACTTAGAGAGAAGCACTTGAAACTAAAGGATTTAGGATAAGCAAAACTAAAACATGGTACATGGAGTGTAATTTTAGCAATAGTGACAAGGGAAACAGAGAAGTGAAGATTGAGAACCAAAAACTATCTGAGAGTGAATATTGTCGTTATTTAGGATCGATTATCACAATAACTGGGGAGATTGGAGTAGATATGGTTCATAGAATTAAGGCGGGGTGGCTTAAATGGAGGAGTGCGTTTGGGGTACTATGTGAAAAATGAATATCCACTAGACTAAAGGAAAGGTCTATAGAATGGTTATTAAACCAGCGATGTATGAGACAGAATGTTGAATAACTGATAAACAATATGTAGGTAAAATGAGTATTGCTGAGATGAGGATGATAAGGTAGATGTGTGAAAAGACTAGAAAAGACAGAGTTAGGAATGAGTATGTGTGTAAATGGGTAGGAGTAACATTGATAGAAGATAAGTTGAGAAAGAATAGATTAGGATGGTTTGTCATATACTGGAAGTGTTAGGGAAAGTGGCAGACTTAGATTGACCTGGGCTATTGTAATAAGTAGAGACATGAATCTCCTGAATTTGACTAACCAAATGGCCTTTGATAGAGTCGACTGGAGAAGAAGGATTCATGTAGTCGACACCATTTAATGGGATTTAAGCCTTGGTTTGGTTTGACTCTTTGTAACCTGCAAAAACATTAGGGTCATAGTTGAGATTAATCAACGAAGAGGCATGAACACAAACATGCATACATGACAATTTTCACAAAAATGTAGGACAAAACGTATGGGGACAAAGCATATTGTTTTATATATTTATTATATGTTATCTATGAGGGTAATTTGAAAAATATTGCCGTACTTGTACCTGGATACTTGCTGGGTACTGGTGCTCGTACCGGTAAGGCTGCATGCATACTGGGTATTTTTTATCCATTCTTTGGCAGTTGGGTACTCTTTTGGTACTTTATGGGTACATCAGGAGTGCACCAAGCTATGGGACATTGGTGGATATATGTTTAATTTATTAGAGAGTTCTTATTTACTTGAAATTGCAAATCCTTTACTTGATGAGTTAGGGATGAAAGATGTATTGTTCAATGATGAAGTTGATGGAAGTGTCAAATTTTCAAATTTTGCTTAGTTTGCTTTTGGAATGAAACTTTGTTTTGTAATTTCTGCTATTTAATAGCATTAAAATAGCTTATAGACTTTGCTTTGGTATTGGTATTAGTATTGTTAAATTATGATTTCTCTTTTGGTTTTGTAATTTCTTCTTGTAGTTTTGGTATTGAACTTTAATTTGTAGATTGAATCTATACTATAAATTATAAAAAATGAAAAATTTATTGATGTACTTCTACAATATCGTATTCTATTTTTTTTAATTCTTGACGTATCAGGGTACCCGTATTGTACTCGTACTAGTATCTGTACCCACACCCATGTTTCATAGTATGTTATTTATATATATATATATAAATATTGGGCAAACTTCATTTTACTCCCTTATGATTTGGGTCATGTGCGGTTTACCCTCCTAACATTTAGAAATGACTACATAGTCCCCTTGCGGATTGTGGACTAAAGTGCGGTGTTATGTCTGTTAACAAATTAATGAAAAGACTAAAATACCCCTATATTTTTGTCGTTTCTTTTGGAAGGCAAAGTAAACTTTACTCTCTGTGCTTTCCATGTGCGATTTACGCAATTGAAATTTGAAAATGAGCATATACCTCCTTTATGTCTGCCACGTGTTTCACATTTACTGTTAAGTTAGACAAAGTGTTTAATGGTTCACTTCAATCCACAATTCACGTGGGGGTTATGTGGTTATTTCCAAACATTAGAAGGGTAAACCGCACATGGCCCAAACCACATGGGAGTAAAGGGAAGTTTGCCCATGAATATTTCATTTAAATTTAATAAAAATACGCCACATAACACAAATTTCTAGGGTTTAAAAGAGAATTCATTAATAGGTATAAATCTACATTAATTTTATTTTATCAATAGATTCCAAGTTATTAAACTTGTAATACATTTCATATGTTTAAACAATAAACATCTGTTTTCCAAGAGTCTGAAGTTTTGTCCGACTTTAAAAATATTTACATGTTAGAGGTGTTGGACACGGACACACGACCATAAAAGTATCAGTGCTTCTTAGGTAATCAAGTACAATGCTTTTTCAAATTCTTTGCTTCTGAATTTTCGAATAAACTATGATTACTGAAGAGCATTTTAGTGACCCTATTTATAGTACAAGTACACATTACATCAAAATTAAAAAGTCATGCTTGGATGCAACTTAGAAGAGAAATCATATTACTGTTGTTTAAGAACCCAACTTCTAAAACGTATTTACCATAAAACAAATTTGGCATGAAGTTTAATTGCGAGTTTACATGCTTCATTTGACTATAGAACAAGCACTACTGTTGGCTTTCAGGCAGTGGATATATTATTCTACTATAGCTTTGTCATTCTTTGTTTAAATCACATACACATTAATACATATGTTCACAGACTTCCTTCTCATGGACGGTTAGCTATGTAGCTCTTGAACTACTAGATACTATTTGGCATAGAAAAATTGGACATCAGTCACATATGTTTGTTCAATATTGAGGTTCTACTTACCCATGCAATGCAAGCTCCCGATAAATTTGTAGGCCTCGGCCTGAATGTTATAGAAAGGAGAAAGAGTCATAAGATGGTTGAGGTTGGGCGTTTAGAGAATAAAAACTTTTCCTGTCTGCTTTTTTGTGTTCTATGGATCAGAGACAATCTAAAGATGGAAATGAGATTGGTGTTTTCTTCTTTTCCTTTTATTTTTGAGTTGCATAATAAACAACTACTGAACATTTGTTGTAAATGGCTGCACTTTGTTGAACAGGAAAAAATGGCAGGTGCGAAGCTAATGGCATCTCTAATGGCAAGTGAAGAAGCCATTGTCAACAGTATTGCTGGAGGACTACTAGAGGCTATAACAGTACTTTCTAGTTTATCATCTTCTGATCCATCACCAGACGTACGTCAAGTGTCCGAAAAATTGCTTGCATGTTTAACTTCTCTCTAAAAAATTGCTTGCATGTTTAACTTCTCTCTAAATTTTGTTTTACTCCTTTTCTTCTTGTAGTTTTCTCTCCACTTGCTACATTTTTCTTATCTTTGAAGTACTTGTACAAATGTATATAATTACAAGGAAAGCTGCTACTTTTAAGTATGTGTGGTTTATATGCATATTATGGGCCTAATGTCTCACCTTTTCACTTAAGAGAAGTGAGTACACCTTAAAATTACACTACCTTTGCTTCACAATTGAAGAATAGTAAGTTTCACAAATTTAACATAGTTATATTGGACTCCTTGGTGATTTAATTAACATAACACTTCATATATGTAAAAATGGTCAGGTCACGGGCCTATTGGGCTCCTGCTAAAAATTGGTTCGATCTAACCCATTTGTGTGGAATCGTGGCCTAGGTCCAAGCGCAGGCCCAGATCCAAGGGGTACTCGAGCCTAGATTTGAGGTGGGTTTGTGCCAGGCTTGATAATTTTTTTTTTCTAATTTTTTCACCAAAATAGCTTGAAAGTGACGTTTAGGCAGGTCGGGCCTCAGGGCGGGCCTCATATTGGGCTTGCTTGTTGGGTCAGACGTTTAGGCAGGTCGGGCCTCGGGGCGGGCCTCATATTGGGCTTGCTTGTTGGGTCAAAAAAAGCATGACCTAGGTCCTGGGCTTGGGCCTCGGGCTGGCGGGCCATTTTTAAACCTTTAGGGTCCGTTTGTTTTCAGAGGTAAGGGATTGTTACTGAGGGGATTATTAGTGGGAAGATTGTTAGTGAGGGGCGTGAGGGGACTGCTAGTGAGGGGATTAAGAAAAATTGTGTTTATTTGACAACCAGTGGACTAGTAATAGTTCATTTTTGTTTTCAGAGATACGGGTGAGATGAACCATGTAAAATTATACAAATACCTTTGTATTAGTATTGAATTTGAGCTTATACCAACAAATAAATGCATTACTCAATTAAACTATTCAAAAATTAAAATTAAAATTACATAATTAAAAATAATAAAAAAGTTCAACTATTATTATTATTATTATTATTATTATTAAAGAAGCCAACCAATGGTTTCTCCAAAACCAGTCCATGGTTTTGAAGATGTGTTCATTCGATTAACAAAAAGATGTTACCTTTCACTTCATCCATTTAAGGCCAACCCAGTAGCTTTTACTTCATCCATCTAAGGCCGATGATGATGGAGAACAAGATCGAGATCAACCTTAATGAGAATGGTGATGTTGCTTCATTCGAGTATGATTTTTTTTTCTTGCAAATTTCTGGGTTTGTGGATGAGAACGATGATGTTGCTTCATTTGTGCTAATTTTTTGTAAATTTCCGAGTTTGTTGATATTTTCTGAAGATCAAAGGAACATTTTTGTGGACAAAATTGTCATTCACACTCTAATATCAATGACTTAATTTCTAATATCAAATCCTCTGGGCCTATGCTAATCCTTTTGTTGGAGGGGATTTAGAGTCTGAATGGATTATCATTCCAGTGGCTATTTTGCAAATGTGATATTGTGAATCCGACATTACTACTAATCCTAATCCCAAGCCTCAACTTGAAAAACAAACGGGTCCTATAGTTAACTTATTTTTATTAGTAATTTGTTAATCATATGGATTGAAAAAGGGGAAATTATTTAACAGTGGAGTAGAGAAAAATAATTACAAACATATGGAGTGTGCAAGTGATTGTGTGGTGGGGTGTAAGTCCCACTTGCATCCCATGTTTGTGTAATTTATTTATTTATTTTTCTTGTTACACTATTAAGTAATTACCCCATTAAAAAAATGATGTCATTATTGTTATAATGAAATGTAAATTTTATCTTATTTATTTTTGTGTCTTTATAATATTTACATTAGTTTTGGTAAGTTTGACTAAGTGACAAAAGTTTGTTCTATTTTACTTGGAAAATTTGCTATGGCACATTGAAATAAATTTTTTCAAAAATGCTAATTAGTTACGATGAATGCTGGTAGTCTTATGTTGGAAAGATATACAAGTTTCCTCTAATATAAATTACCATTGTCAAAGTTTGGTCTTTTAGTATTCTCTTTAATATTGTTGTTAAATTAATACATTCTGTACAATTTAAAAGGAGCAAGCATGCAATTTTCCCCTTATACATATATATCGTTAAGGTTAGGTTCCTTTTATATTCTCTCATGTTGAGTCTCAACATTAGAGAACTTGAGCGGCCTACAGGACCCGCTATGAGTTTTGTTTCGATAATTTAAACTATTCATTTTCGTAGGACTTTCAATATATATTATTCATAAAAAAATTAGTTCGATCAAATAATTATATTTTTTATTTTATTTTATTGCATTTTTTTTTGAAAAAATGGACAAATATATTTTTGAAATATATAATCTATTTTTTTAAAGACAAATATGATAAAATGAAAATGTTACATTATTGAATTGATCAAAAAAAATTATGAATGATATATATTGAGGATCTTATAAAATAAATGGTTTGTATCATCGAAATAAGACCCGTAATAGATCCTATGGGTCTCTCAAGTTCTCTCATGTTGAACTCATGTTGAGATCTCAACTTGAGAAACCCAACTTGTTAAGTTTATTGAATTGATCAAAAAAAATTATGAACGATATATATTGAGGATCTTATAAAATAAATGGTTTGTATCATCGAAATGAGACCCGTAATAGATTTTATGGGTCCCTTAAGTTTTCTCATGTTGAGATCTCAACTTGAGAAACCCAACCAGCAAATTTTTTTTTTTTTTTTTTTTTTTTTTTTTTTTTTTTTTGAGAACATGGGAAATATTAGATTGATAAAACAATAACAATATATGAACAAGATTCAAGATTCCAAATAGTCATCCCAACCAAACAACAAAAAACAAATCCGTCAAAAAAAACAGTTATGATCCAAGAAAAACTACCGATTTGCTCAAAGATGTAGTCTAGAAGTTAAGATCGGCTTGAAAACCCACCGTCCCTGTCACTGCTGCTCAACTCCGCCACTACTGCCGCCAAGGAAGTATACTCACAATGGCATGAAAGAAGGCTTGAGAGATGAGGGAACCATTGCGAGTGTAAAAAATTTATGCCGAAACCGGAGGAGAAAACTCTCAAAATTCATATTTTAGACATAAAAAGTTTAGATGTACACCCTAAAACTGTAGATCTATACTCGTAAATCTATACTTTAAAAGTGTAAAATAAGTTGTTGGAATGTCGCCAAAGTATCATCGGAGTATCGCCAAAATTACCATGAGAGAGAAGCTCTGCTCTCTCTCTCTTTGGACCTGTGCTAACCCGTTAAGGGTTGGGCTTTCTATTAACTTATTATGTTATTTAGGTTTGTTTTGGCAAATTATTAAAATAGTTAAAAAATCACTACCTAAAAGTTAATGGCTCTGTTTGGTTGTGAATTCAAATCAATTTTCAACACGTGAGCTCGCGCATGACGTTTGGATACGACGTTCAAAAGTTGATTATGCATGTTAATTCAAATTACATTTTGAAAATCTGTTTGGTAGCTTGTATCTCCACTTTCAACGTTTCCGCCTTCTTCATCGTCTCTGCAACTTTCAACAAGTGATTATCTGAAGCTGTTTGGAAATCTGTTTACAACTTTCAACAAGTGAAAATCTGTTTGGAAATCGTCTCTGCAACTTTCAACAGGTGATTATCTGAAGCTGTTTGGAAATCTGTTTACAACTTTCAACTTTCAACAGGTGAAAATCTGTTTGGAAACTGAGTGTGGTGTGAGGTGGGATGACCGGCCGGTAGACCTCCCGGTTGTCCCTACCGACTTCCAACAGGTGATTATCTGAAGCTAAGGTTTAGAAGGTTCAGGTTGTTTTTATTTTTTTTATAGAAAGGCTGAGGTTCAGAAGGTTCAGGTTATTTTTTATTTTTATTTTTACTTTTTATTTCTTATCTATTATTTTTTTATAATATTAATAATTTTTATTTAATATTACATCCGTATACTGAGTTACTAAATTAATAACGTGTAATAAATGAGAAAAAAATTTGATAATATTTTGTAAGGTTTACGTTATGATTTGCATTTTAAAATATTACACTTAGTGTATTTATGTTAATTTTTATTAATATGTATTCTCAAAAGTTGTTGACTTTAACAAAATTTTTTTAAAAAAATAAAAAACGTATTGTAGAAGATGTTTGTGCAAGCGTAAAAAATGAATTGATAGAAAATTTAATTGACACAAAATAATTGACATAGATTTATTTTAAAATGAAAAAAAAAATTGGAAAAAAAATTATTCAAAAAAAATTACTGAAAAAAAATTAATTTAAAAAGATTGTTAGATTTTTTTTTAATAATTGAATGTGATGTTTGTGAGAGAAAAAGTAAAATGATTATGAACTTGATGTGATATTTTATTTTATTGACTATTTTATATATATATATGCAAGTACACTCAAGAAATTGGGCCTTCTTTGGCCTTATTTGGGAAGTTGACTATTTTAATAGGCTATTTTAGTTTTTGACTATTTTAATAGGCTAAAATATTTGTGTTTAGAAAGATTGTTAAATTTTTTTTTAATAATTGAATGTGATGTTTGTGAGAGAAAAAGTAAAATGATTATGAACTTGATGTGATATTTTATTTTATTGACTATTTTAATCTATTTTATCTTTTTATAAATTTTAACCAAAAAAAAAAAAAAGCCTTTGCCAAACAAGGCATTTAATTCGGAGACCTAGGAAGTGGCCTTGGTGCCCTTTACTTGGGCTGTTCCTGTGTAATCATGATATAGAAAAATTCTTGAAATATTTAATTTATTATTCCTAAAATTCACTTTTAATGATATATTTCACAATTATCAAATTTTTATTTGTCAAATATTCTATTAGATAGGATATAACCTCAATACCACATCATTAGGAGTCATTTAAGAGAGATAAATTAAGGGTTTTTATCATTGTTGCTATATATAACCATGGAATATTAGTGAGACTCAATTGATACTTGTTGTAATAAAGGAAATTGATTGAAAAGTCATATTAGGAAGATGGATGTATCAATAAGTCTTTTTTGTTTTTAGTGTATTAAAAAATCCTATTCACTTTTAATTGTTATCGTATAGTCCTATTTTTTAATGTTTTTAACGGGCTTTTAAAGAAAATTATCACTAATTGTTAGTTTTTAGTAATAGTTAAA